TTTTGAGTTAAATAATTATTATCTTTTTTCTTTCTTTTTTTCTTTTTTTTTTTCTTTATCTCTAAAAAACGAAAAAGAAAAGAGAATAAAATATACCATAACCATTTCGTATAACACTTGGTCGAGGTTGAGGTTTAAGAACAGATGAGCATGACGGTAAACAACGCATTTCACGTTTTTTAAGCGATAAATCCAATGGCTAAAATTAAAAATTATTCTTTTTTTTGATACAAAACTTTTTTTAGAAAAATAAAATTTTTAAAAAAATTATATATTACCTTATCATATTGCTCATCGTCATCGTCATCATCAAGATGTACATCACGTGCTACATCAGTAATTCCAACAACATCAATATCGGTATCACATGATATGGTATTTAAGTTTATTGTATGATATGGTGGTGGTGGTGGTACAATAGATGATGATGATGATGAAGTAATAGTAGTAGTTACTGATGGTGATATAATTGTTGATGGTATATAAGATGGTGACATACGAACAGGTATTGTTAGATTACCTAACGGTAGGTTAATTGATAATGTTGGTGGTTGGGTCATTGGAAAACTGTACATTGCATTTAATATCCAATATTTTTCTTCGATTTTTTTCTTTTAATACTTACGATAATTGAATACTAATTAATAACAATTGTCGTTTTCAATTGATTATAATATCATTGTTGAAATTACCTCACTCCGTTAGTTTTACATTGATAGAAAAAAAAGTCTAAATAAAAAAAAAAAAGCTAATTGCTCATTTCCTTAATTAATTACTTGTAAAATCGATTAAACATTAGTATAGTGTTCATAAAAAGTGATACATGGGAAGGTGAAATAAATGAGATTTTAAAATAAAATTAAATTATTGATTTGTAATTTCATTTTAACAAGTAATGACTAAAATAATTCGAATTTTTACCATTATATCATTCCTAAAAACAAATCAAAATTACCATAATGGGAATTGTAATTATTGTTATTGCATCTTATTAATTACTTATTAACAGTTAATTATTTCTGATATATTATCTTATCAATGCTCGAATATCTTCCCTTCCTTCATACATACATATATTTATTTCCAACCTATCCTTCTTTCCTTCCTTTTGATATGAATAATAAAATCATGAATAATTTTATAATGACAAATGACAGAGTGACCTTTCCATTCGTGTCCTTCCTTGTCATCAATATATGTACACAATACGTACAACACACACACACACACACACATACATACACACACACATCACACACACACACACACACACACACACACAGGGATGAATCATCGCCCTTAAAATAAATGGATGAATAGATTTGATGGCTTATAACTGTTGTAAACCGGAAGGAGATCAGATAAATTTTATCAATAAGCAAATATTTTGCTTCTTTTTACATTTCCTTTTTTATTATGAATTATTCATACATTTTCGTTTGTCAACTTTTACAATAACTCTTCTATTTTCTTTCTTTCCCTCTTTCTCTCCATCTCTCTTCCACTCTTTCTATCTCTCTCCCTTTCTTTCCCTCTCCTTCCATCTCTTTCCCTCTCCCTTTTTTTTACCTTTTTTTTTTATAAAAATCACTTTTAGATTTAAATTTTTGCATTTATTTGAAAATTTTACATTTTTGCAATTTATGATAGTACTAAATTTACCATAGGATTTTAAAATTGCTCTTATCATATTAATTAGTATACCTGGACAAATTAGCCATTTCATTCATTACCATAATATCTTACAAATAATACTTTTTGACTTTAAGTAATTATCATATCATATCATATCATAACAATAAATGAAAATATTCAAGAAAATAATAAATCACAAATGATATTTTCATATATATTCAAAATTATTTGATTGTTTTGAACGCATTAATCTCTTCGTATCTTTTTCTTTTTTTTTAATTATTTAAATTAAAATATTGACTTATCATTACATTGCACCTACAACAGGATGCAACAGTTTCCGCCTATCCAAAACATTGAAATGAAAATATCATTAACAACAAGGACAATGTCATCATCATCATCATTATGACATTAGTGATAACAAGGACAATGTTATCATCATCATTCTTGGTACATAATGACGATAATTATCGCGTAATATGAAATTGAAAGTGGCTCTAGTAGTACTAAATTGTGGTAGTGGTAATGATTGATGATGAAGGCAGTAATAGTAACATTGGTAATGATGATGATAGAGATGGTAATGATAGTGATGATGATAGTGGCAGCGGTAATGGCTTTAATGAACTGTATAATTTATTTGGTGAAATTCGTTTTAACTTTTTTTTCTTTTTTATGAATAAATCAGTAGATTTTTAGCTAAAACAAACAAAAATAGGAGTAAAAAATTGAATTTATTCAAAAAAGTTTTCATTATTAGCATCCTAAACAGAAACAATTAATTGTTTATTCATTTAAAAGAAAAAAGGAAAAATTTTGTTTCTAATTCTAATTCCAATTTAATTCTAGTTTTTGTTTCTAATTCTAATTTAATTTTAATTCTAATTCTTGTTTCCTACAAACATTCCAAAATCACTGTCTTACTTCTAAATATTTTAGTATATTTTGAAATTGCTATCATACTTAATTTCAACCTTTTTTTATATTGAAACATTTCTTCATATATAATGGAAACGATATGATAGTAAACGTCATCAAATAATTCTGATAACATCTGATAAACATAATAAAACAACTCTGATAGCCTTGATAAACCTAATAAAGTAGCACTGATAATTTTGATAAACCTAATAGAGTAGCACTGATAATTTTGATAAACCTAATAGAGTAGCACTGATAATTTTGAATCAAATAAAATTTAATAGAATAACTTTGTTAAAAATAATAGAGTAATTCTGATAAATCTAATAGAATAACGACTTGATATTAATAGAAAGAATAAAATAACTCTTAGATATTCCATCTATGCCATTTAATATTTAACATTCGTTTTTTTCTTAAAAAATTTTTTTTCAGCTGAAAAATCATTATTATGTCATTTTTATCTTTCTTTTTATTTTTTAATTTTTTGTCTATCTAAAAAGTGGAAATTATTGATTCGTTGAGTGAATTTGTGACAAAAAAAAAAAGAAGACTGATTTATTGTCACCCAACAATGCTATATTGCGACATTTCATTCACAATTACATTTTTTCGTTTCCTCTGAAAAATTAAATCCTCAATTATTTGAAAAATTGTGGGACGTCCGTCAGTTTCTATTCATTTTCTCTTCTCTTACCTATTATTACCTGTTTGTTATTTTCATATACATTTTTTTTTTTTAATTTCTCATCATATCGATGTCATCAACCGGATAGGAAAAATTTGCACTATAAGTTTGATTTTGATTTATTTCTTGTTATTTTACATTCTCTTCTTCTTTCTTCACCTTAATAACCAGCCTTTAGTTTTTTTTTTTCTCCCAAATGAAATAAACGAATTTATTGATGATTTTCTATGTTATTTTTTTTTTTAATAAAAGATAAAAGCTTGCAAATTTATTAATTAAATGACCGATAAGAGATATTGAATAGATTATTTAATTAAATGCATTATTGATTTTCTTTTTTTTTTTGCAATTTAATTTACCCGGGAAATGGTTTCAAAGAAAAAGCAAAAACGAGGAATCGTTGCATAATGGCAAATTTTTACATATGTAAATTTTCAAAATAATATTTTTTTGAATACAAAAAAAGTTAAAAAAGTTAGTAATTATCAAAAAAGTTTTCTTCTCCTTCGCCTTTACATTTCAAACAGTTAAATTTCATATTTTAAGTTATATTCTGTTGTATGCAAACAAAGCCAATATATGATATGAATGGTATTTGTTAAAATCATTTGAATTTCAAATGAATGACGAATAGCTCCCAAATGAATTTGATGTACATATATGTAAAATTGGCGCAGTATTTTTTTTTGTTTTTTTTTTCTTATCAAATTTTCTTCCAAATAATCATACGCAACCAATATATTTCTTTCTATTCTGCCGATAATTTCATGATTTAAATTTTAAAATTTCCTTTTCATCGCTTTTTTTTCTTCCTTTCTTTCAATCCATACGAATATTGCCAAATGATATAATTTTATAATTGATATTTATGTTGAAGATTTTGGGAAATTTTATTTCGTTTCATAAATTTATTTCCGAATTATTGTTATTACTAATATCGTTATTAATTATTACTATCATTAATCATCACCATTATTATTATTGTTATCATTATCATTATTAATTTTGTTATTATTATTATTATTATTA